TACTTCTTAGTCTCCTTTGACGGATCATTCTCCATTTCATGATGCATCATGGCTACCCTCTAACTGTTGGTGTACCCCAAGGCTGTGTCATAAACCCTTTTCTGATTCTCTCTGTACAATTTCACTTGGTGATCCCTGAGCTCCCATGGGTTTATTATCATTATTATTTACAACAACAACAAAAACCCTAGCACTTACATAACACCTACTATGTGCAAGGCACTGTGCTAAGGGCTTTACAAATATTATTTCATTTGATCTTACATTAAGCCTGAGAGCTAGGTGCCATTATTATCTCCATTTTATGAGATGAGGAAACTGATGCAATAAACAACTTGCAGGGTCACACAGCTATTAGGTGTCTAAGGCTGGATCTGAACTTAGGTCTTTCTGTCTCCAGGCCCAACACTCTATCCACTGCATCACCTAGCTGTCTAAATCATCTCTACCCAGATGACTCCCCAATGTGTGTGTGTATGTGTGTGTCTCCCACACTACCACATCAAAGTCTAGTGATCATTTCAAACTAGATATACAGGATATATATACACATCTTAAACACAGCTTGCCCAAAACAGAGTTTGTTACCTTGCCCCCAACATCCGTTTGCTGAACTTCCCTATTCTGATGAGTGTACCAACATCTTTCTGATCAACCAAGATCTCAACCCTGGAGTTATCCTTGATGCCTCACTTTCCCTGACACCACATATCCAATCAGTTGCCAAATCTGAGTACTTCTAACCTTCAACATCTCTCAGTTCTATCCCTTCTCTCCACTTGAATAGCCTTAACTCTAGTTCAGGGCCTCATTGCCTCTTACCTGGATCACTGCAATAGCTTCCTAATTGGTCTCCCTGCTTCAAATTTCTCCCCTGTCCAACCTATCCTTCAAAAAGTTGCTAATGTAATTTTCCTAAAATGCAGGCCTGACCATGTCACTTTCCTATTCAGTAAGCTCCAGCGGTACCATATTAGCTCTAAAATCAGATATTATTTCTCTTTTATCTCATCATCTTAAAATTTCTATTTCTGTGTTTTATAATATACATAATTATTAGTACAATAATATACCCATAATGGGGCAGCTAGGTGGTACAGTGGATAGAGTGTTAGACTTGGAGTCAGGAAAATTTATCTAGCTCTGTGACCATGAGCAAGTCACTTAACCCTGTTTGCCTCAGTTTCCTCATGTATAAAATGAGCTAGAATGAGCTAGAGAAGGAAATAGCAAACTGCTCTAGTATCTTTGCCAAGAAAACCCTAAATGGGCTCACAAAGATTCAGACACCATTGAAAAATGACTGAACAACAACAAACACATATAATGGGAGGAAGTAATAAATAGTAGGGTGTTTCCTCCCTGACCCCCACCTCATCCCCTACCAAGTCTGCTCTAGCTACATCATACCCCATGAGTACTAAGCATATATGTTACTCGATTCCAGGAAATGTGGCTCAATGTTGAAAGGATTTGGCTCTCTGGGATGAGAGCAAACTCTGGGTAGTCCTATGGTCCTCTCCCCACACCATCTTATTACAGGAGGTTGGAGTGCTGCATGAGTTAAAAAGGAAAGAAAACTTCCTAACTCTCTTCCTTCAAAGAATTTACATCAAGTAACTTTCCCATGAGGAGTTGATGGCAAAACAGCAGAAATAAACTTTGCAAAAAAACAAGATTGCAAAATGGAGAAGTCTCTAGGCACACAAAACCTAAAATCAAGTTGACCATGCTTTTAACAATGCCCCAGGCAATCCCCAGACTGATGAGGCAACCAAAATTTGGGACATAAAGGAATAGTGGGATGGGAGGAGGGGCAGGAAAGGCCGCCTAAAGTAGAGAGATCCACACTATTTGCATAGGCTGCTATCATATCCTATGACTAAATTCTGTGAGGAACCAAAAGGGACATGGAAAGTCATGTCAAACTGTCCCCAAACCCACCTATCATTAGATTCAATAACTACTGTATCTTTCACTGTATATACTTAATCAGTAGTGTTTCTATATCTTTTGACAGCCATAACAGAGGCATAATTAGCACTACAGTAACCCAACTGGTCATTTGAGCCAAATCTAGAACATAAGACCCCTCAGGGATAATACATGTGCCAAAGTAATTTAAAGGTTAACTAAAAGAAAAAAAATGCCATTTTCCCCTAGTGATTAAAAAAATACAAATTCACCTTATAACAAAATTTCCTCCTCAAGTTTTCATATTTGGGGGGGAATTTAATATTGTAAATAAAACAGGCCCTCAAATTCAACATCATACTCTGATCCACAAAGATAAAGCAATTGAATTGAGGGGGGAGGAGGAGTATTAATAACAAATTTACAACTTTATGATAACTGTGGTTCCTTGGTACTTGAATTCTTTCTTGCTGCTTGCAGTATTTTTTTTTCTTTATCTCAAAATTTTGGTTTTAACACTCCTAGGTGTTTTCATTTTGGCATTTCTTCCAGGACATGACTGGCAGATTCTTTCTTTTTTCACTTTGCTTTCTGGTTCCATCATATCCGTGAGCTATAGTCTTATTTCTTCTCTTTTTAAGCCAAACTCAGCCTCTACTACTTTCCATATTAACTGCTTTCTCCAAAGTTACCAATTATCTCTTTCATGGAGAGATCTGATGGCATTTTCTCAGTTGTCATTCTTTAGAGAGCCTCTCCTGTCTGGGTTTTTGTGATACATCTCTCTTGGATTACCGATTACCAGTTTGTCTACTTTTTAGCAGTCTCTTTCGGTTGCTCATCTTCCACATTCCTAACTATGCAGGTTCCCCAGGGATATATGTCATAGGTCCTCTTCGACTGTCCATTGATAGTCTATTAGTAACTTCATTGGCACCCATGGACTTAACTATCATCTCTAGAACAGTTATTCTGCCTACTAGATATTTCAAAATGAGATGTCCCTGATACATCTCAAACTCAACATGTTCAAAACTGAACTCATCATCTTTCTTCCCAATTCCTCCTCTCTTTGAAAATCCTCTATTTCTGTCAAAGGTAACACCATCAATCCAGTCTCATAGGTTCCTAGCTTCAGTGTTATCCCTAAATCCTTACTCTCCTTCACCCTATATATCTAATCAGTTATTAAATATTATCATATCTACCTTCACAACATCTCCCATATCTGAGCCCTTCTCTCCAGTCACACAGATAACCTTAGTTCAAGTCCTCATCTCTCATTCAGATTACTGAAATAGCCTCTAATTGGCCTTCCTGCTGCAAAACTCTCTCTACTCCAGTCCATCCTCCACACTGCTGAAAAGTGATTTTCCACGTGCAAAGACCTGACCATGTCACTCCACTACTCAATTATTACTCTAGTGGATTCCTATTCCCACTGGAATAAAATATAAACTGCTCCATGTAGCTTTTAAAGCCCTTTACAACTTGACCCCAAACTATCTCTCCAGCCTCACTGGGTATTACTTCCCCTCCCACACCCTGAAATCCAGCTGAATTGGTCATTGGCTGTCTGCCCTGCCTAGAATACGTTCCCTCCTTGTCTCCACCCCAGAGTCTCTCTCTTCCTTTAAGATACTACTCAAGGATCATATTCTCAATGAAACCATTACTAATCCCTCCATTGCTAGTGTCCTTCCTCTCAAATTACCTTGTAGTTAACTTCTTTGAATATATTTGTATTTATTAACATTATATTTATGTTACCTATAATTTGTATGTACTTGTCTTCCATAAGTTCACTGGGAGTGCAGATTGTTTAATTTTTTTGTATCTGTATATCCCCCAGCACTTATCCTGGCACACTGCAGATGATTAATAAATACTTGTTGATTGCCTGATATCATCAGCTAAATTTTAAAAGGTGATATGGGCTATTATTTCAATTTCACAAACTCAGAAATACCTTTTGTACTGAAAGTCATCCTTTATGTATTTTCTAAAACTGTATTAACGTAGAAATATAGCTACAATCTGAAAATTTAGTCTAAAGCATCCTAAACTACCTAAATTAACATAGCAATCTAATGAGGCTCTCAACAACTAGGTCCTCTTACCCATATAAATAATTTTATAAAGAAAAGTAATTTCTAAAATCAAAGTATTTAAGTTATGAATTTAAGAAAATCTTTTTTCATTTCATTAACTGCTACAATTTGCAAACCATCTCTTTTAAAGCAAAAGTAAAATCACAATGCTCTACAACACTTTATTTATAAAACTTTTAAGTTTATAGAAAAAAAATCAGCAACTTCATATTTGACCTTAATCTTGTCCAGAAAAGACCAAATATTATGTCTATTAATGTTAACTTGTTTCTTCTTATGTCAATTTTCTAGTCAATCAGTTCTATCATTTAATTAAATTGACTATAGATAATTGGATTTTTTTGAGTTGTTGGAAAGGACTTCAAAAACATTCAGTAGAATTCCTTTCTTTTATAAATGAAGAAACTGAAGTCCAAAAAAGGTTAAGTAATTTAATAACAATGTGATTTTGACTAAATTGGATGTCTCAGAGACATCTCAAACTCATTATGTACAAAACTTATTATCTTCCCCCCCCAAACCCTTCCCTGTTTCAAAACTCACTATTTTCTGTAACATCATCTTTTCGGTCTCACAGGCTCATAGCCTTAGCATTACTTTTAACTCCTCACTCTTCTTCACCTCACAGATTTAATCCCTTTCCAAATCTTGCCATTTTTACCTCCATATCTCTCAAATCTGTCCCTTTCTCTCTATTCACAAAGAAATTACTTTCCCTCTCATACTGAGATATAGCTCAACAGGCCTTCTCTCTGTTCCTCACATAGGATATTCCAACTCTGGCTTTGTACTAGTTCATCTTTCATAGGGCTCCATACCTAGAATGTACTCTCCTTACCTCAGACTCATAAAATCCCTTTTCCTTCCGGATGCAGGTCACGCTTCTGTTTCTACATAAAGCCTTTTCAGATTCCTACAATCTACTAGTACCCTCCCTTTAAATATTATTGTGATTGTTGCTCTTTATATACTTACATATATACTTGTTGTCTCCTCCACAAGAATGTAAGTTGGTTTTGAGTGGGAATTAATTCTTTGCATTTGTATCCCCGCAGCCTAGCACAGTTCCCGGAACATAGAAGGTGTTTAATAAATAATGCTTGACTGATCTGAGCAAGAAGTTTTCTCTCTGTGCTCCCAGTTCTCTCTCTATAAGGAGAATAATAAGAGTTCTAGTTTATTACCCAATTCAAATAAGATCATATGATGCTTTTTACACACAAAGAGGTAAGTAAATATAAGATAATATTGTTCTTGCTCAAAGTCACACAGCTATTTAAAAAAACGAAGAGAGAATTAGAATCTGGTCTTCTGATCAGGCTAGGGCATTATACAATATTGGCTCCACTGATTCCTTGAGAATATAAAAACACATCTGCAGAGCGGCCCTTTATGTAAACTGCATAGGCTTTTAAAACCAGTTAACCTTCAGGGGAGAGAAATGAAAAAGCAACTACAGTAAAATCTCATTTTCCTCATCTCTTATGGAATGAATCTTTTTGTTTAAAGTTTTGTAATTAGAAACTGTAATTTGTAATTAGAATGTGTAATTAGAAGCGGCACTTAGAATTTTAACTATTTTTAGATAGATCTTTCCAAAATATACTATACTGCAGACCTATTTTGCTAGACTATTAAATTCCAACTGAAGACATTATCAATCATATTTAATACTTATTAAAATGTTTGATATTATACGGAAGTAACCATTGTGGAAAAGTTTTAAGTATACAAAGTATCCCAAAAGTCTTAGCTAAATTGAAGCTGATAGCTTACAAAGGCACCAAGACTTTGGGGTTACCCTATATCACAATAGTTGCTTTTCACACCTATATTAACATTCTGCACGTTGCATCTTTTACAACTGGCAAGGGATTAATCATCTCCTAATAAGTCTCCATGAATACAACAAGCATGATTATTGTGGATACAGTATATTGATCTTGGAGTCAGAGGCCGAGTTCAAATTCTCTCTTTTCTAGCTGCCTGACGAATTGCTTAACCTCTCTGGGCCTAGGCTGTTGGGAGAAAAGCAGACAATAATTAGCACCTGTTTACAGAGTATTGTTCCAGGAGCTGGGAGAAATGCCAAATTTAGATAGGCCGTAGTTCTTGGCCTCACAGAGCATAAAGGGACAAAACAAGTACAAAATCTATAATTTAACAAAGAAAAAGATACCTGAGCACCCAAGAGAAGTAGTACTGTAAGGGGAACAAGTCACTCCCAATTAACAGAGTTCAGAGATGGCTTACACGAAGAAGTCTGAATTTAAAGTGGAAAAAACAATCTTCCCAAAAGACCTAAAATAACCCTAATTAACTTGTTGAAAATGAGATTGGTCTCTAAATGATTCTCCAAGTATGTACTTCAAATGACTTTCCCAAGTAAAATAACCTGGTCAATAATTAAGCGCACCTACAGGTGCCCGAAGGTTTAAAATACACCACTGGTAATTTTTAATAGTGAGTGGGAGGTAGGGTGCACAGCAGGGATGGCCTGTATGCAATTGGGGCCTGGGGCCCTGCGGGTCAGTGTAGACCCGCAGACCCACAGTCACTGGCCCCTGAGGCCACGCCGCGGAAGCGCCAGGTTTTCTGCCTTCTGGTAAAGTCCCTTAACCAACGAGGCCTTCGGGTGCCCCGGGTCTCAGGCCCAGTCAGGCCGGGCCCGCCCAGGGACCTTCCGGGGCTGCGGCGGTCAGTGAGGCCGCCGTGCCGGGCCCGGCTCTCCCGCCCAAGGGCTTAGACGGCGCAAGGTGGGGACCCCCACGCCGGGTCGGGTCCCTACTACTTGTGGGATCAGGGACAGAAAAAAAATGATCCGTCTTTTCCTCAAGTCTGTCCCGGAGGGGAGGTTTAAAGACGCGGGTCCCCAGCCCTGGCTCGCTTTCCCGCACCGGGGTGGGGAAGGGCCGTGGCCGGGAAGGGCTGTGGCCTAGAGCCACTTCTCCCGAGGCCACCAGAAGATAACAATATGGCCGGAGAGAAGGGGGGCGGGGAGGCTGAAGACGTGCCAGCCTATCCGCGCAGGCGCACTGCGGAAAGGTGGGGGGGCAGTCGGACCGCCCTCCGTCGCGGCTGCTCAGTGAGTGAGAGGTGCCCTTTTCCCTATCCGGGTGGGAACAGGCGCTGTCAATTTTTCTCCCGACACTTCTACAATTTACTAGGTCGCAGGCCCCGGGCCTCGGCCTCCTTCCTTTAGAGACGTCCTTCTTCTGGGCTGGGCAGGCCGGGGCGGAGGTGGGTGGGGTAGGGACGTGATGAGGGTTTGTGTTCAGTGTCAGGCCCATCCAAGGAGAAGAGCACTGGGAGTCCTACAACTCCCGCATGGCTCGGGGTGTGCGTGACCAAATGCCAGGCCCTGGTGGTGGCCGAAGATTCGGAAGCCACACCTGTCAATCATCCCCCTCCCCTTAGGAAGAAATGAAGGTGGGCTGCTGAGGCCTGGTTCGTTGGGGCAACACCCCCTCCCCCGGGGGTGACAGCCCGAGACTACCCAATCCAAGCAGACCTCGGTACTTTTGGGGGCACAATGTATGAGGAAATAGTAACTAAGAAAGAGCTCCTCCTAATCTTTCCCAAATTTGGGGTTGACTAGCATTAAATCTTTTTTAAAAATGTAAATAAGTCTTTGAATACCTAGCCTGGAATCCACCGAAACGGAAGCAAAGGGAGTCGAGACTCTTTGTTTTGGGAGTTTTTTGATGGGGAGTTGTCTGGAGCTAGGAAAACTAGGATTTGGGTGGGGGAAGAGATGGGAAAAGGGAAGGGGACCAAAACGCGAAGTATTTCTGATAATACTTGTACCTTCGAAAAATGGAACCAGCATCTGCTTATGATTAACCATACTAAAGTACTAAAAACTTATTTTACAGAGCTAGAAAAAATGATAAAATTCATCTGGAAGAACAAAAGGTCAAGAATATCATGGGAATCAATAACAACAACAACCACAACAACAACAACAACAAAAATGTGAAGGAAGGTGGCCTTCTTGTACCAGAATTCAAACTGTATTACAAAGGTAATAATCATCAAAACAATCTGGTACTGGCTAAGAAATAGATTAGGTAAACGATACACAGTAGTAAATGGCAATGATGGGACAAGAATTCACTTATTTAACAAAAACTGGGTAAATTAGAAAGCAGTTTGGCAGAAACTACATAGACCAACATCTCTCACCATATTATCAAAATGGGTACATGATTTAGACGTAAAAGGTGATACCATAAGCAAATTAGGGGAACACAGAATAGTTTACTTGTCATATCTATGGATGAGAGAAGAATTTATGACCAAAAAAGAGATAGAGAGCATTATGTAATGTAAAATGGATAATTTTTATTACATTAAATTTAAAAGGTTTTGCACAAACAAACGCAATGAGGCCAAGATTAGATGGAAAGCAGAAAACTAGGGGGAAATTTTACAGCAAGTTTCTCTGATAAAGACTTCATTTCTCAAATACATAGAGGTCTGAGTCAAATTTATAAGAATACAAGTCATTCCCCAATTGATGAATGGTCAAAGGACATGAACAGGAAGTTTTCAGAGGAAGAAATAAAGTTATCTATTGTTGTTGAGTCATGTGTGACTCTTCATGACCCCATTTGGGGTTTTCTTGGCAGAGATACTGAAATGGTTTGCCATTTCTTTCTCCAGCTCATTTTACAGATGAGGGAACTAAGACAAACAGGGTTAAGTGACTTGCCCAAGGTCACACAGTAAGTATCTGAAGCTGGATCTGGACTCCAGGTCTGGTGTTCTATCTATGGTTATATGAAAAAATGCTATTGATTAAAGAAGTACAAATTAAAACAAATCTGAGGTACCATCTCCCAACTATCAGATTGGTTAATGTGGTAAAAAAGGAAAATGACAATGTTGGAGGGAACCTGGGAAAATTGGAATACTAATGCACTGTTGGAGGAGTTGTAAACTGAGCCAACCATTTTGGAAAGCAATTTGAAGCTATGTCCACAGGGCTATAAAACTTCATACCCTTTGACCCAGCAATAACACTACTAAGTCTGTATCCTAAAGAGATTAAAAAAAAAAGGAAAAGGAAATATATGTACAAAAATATTTACAGTAGCTCTTTTCGTAGTGGCAAAAAATAGGAAATTGAGGAAAGGGAAGGAGGCAGAATATTTTAGGCAATAGGGAACAGCAAATAAAAATGCATACAAAGATGAAATGTCCTGTGTAAGGAACAACTCCTAAGCCAGTGTAGCTGGAGCAGTAATGAAGGGGAGTAAAGTTTACATGAAGATTGGAAAGTTAGGAAGACCAGGTTCTGAAGTCCATAGGAATAACTACAGAGCAAATATATACAAGTAGTTCAAATAAATTAGTAAAATGGCTTTCTTTAAGTGACTAGATGAAGGCATAGCAAAACAACCTTCCTAACTTTTCTTTAACCCTATCCAAACTTCTGCACTATATATGTGTATATACATATGTATATATACACCTATGTATCTCACAATTTCTTTTAGTTTGTTTGTTTGACCTTATTAGGAAAAGTCAATATCCATAAGCATCTCTTTCCTCAATAAGCCAGAAACTGAGAAAATTACTGGATTTTTAAAATATATATGTATTTTTATGAGGGTGTTTCATTTGGAAAAGATTGCACTCCTCCAAAGAACTTCTATTTGGCCAACATCCTTCCAGAACAAATTATATTCATAAATGTCCTCACTCCCTTTCATCTAACTAATGATGGTAGGCACTTAAAAGTACAAAGGATAGAATGATTTTTAGTGTTTTATATAAACTAAATATAACCAGTGATTTTAAACATTTTTTTAAAGGATCATGACCTTTGAGGTTCCTACTCACTTTAGATTATGTCATTCTGATTCTATGTGATTTTTGTCACAACTTGGCTTTCCTGAAGTTAACAACTATCAAGAAGCTTTTGATTCAGCACTACAAGCTTTCTCTGACTACTCTGATTATAATACATATTCAATACCCAATTTTCACAATAACTTCACAATTATATTTATGATGTCTCATGCCCCCTAATTCTAAGCTTCTTGAGTATTATACGTATCTAAGAGTACATAAGCTGGAAAGGTTTGAGTATAGGGAGCAGATTTTGTCCGAATACCGAAGTGCCACCAGTTGATTTTTTTGGA